TAGTTTTTCGTGATCAGAAGCTCAAATTCTATCAAATGATGTAAAAATCGCGAAAAAAAAATTTTTACTAGAAATTCGAATTGCCGGTAGAAGGCTGCAGGTTACGCTATTTTCACAACCTGTAACCTGCCCTGCTGAGATTTTGACAACCTGACCCTGCCCTGCCCTGCAAACTTTTTCGCGTATCCTGCCCTGCCCTGCCCTGCAAACATTTTCGCGTATCCTGCCGTGCCCTGCCCTGTGAATTTATTTCATAACCTTTAACCTGCCCTGCCCTGTTTTCTTTAAAACCGAAGAAAATTCCAAACTTTCGTATCAATTTATTATTAAATTTCATTTCGATTTGTTACAACCATAAAGCAAAACAAAACAACATTATATATCTCGAAAATTTCTAACCATCAAAATATCATCAACAATATCTAGGTTTAAAAACTGCCTTCTTTTTTCTAATACTCGATCTGATGAGCTAAAAACGTGCTTCGATGTGGGTGTGATGTAGAGTATGAATCTTTTCTTCGCATATCCACATTCTATTAAGAGATTTTTTGTTTTTTAGTGTATTTGATTCATCTAAACAATTTTTAAAATGATAGCTAATAGTAGAAGTTTCACTTGATATGGGATATGATAATATCTCATAGAACAATCGACATTGTACGAACGGTTGATATTCATTATTGAAACATTTAATATATAATAAATGTTCCAAAAATGAACCATAAGATGATGATGGCGGTTGTACTGTAGCTATAAATTCACTAGTTTTAAGTTTTTCTATCATTTGCTTCTTTTTTCGTTCCATATCTTTTTTTGAATTAGGCATAGTTGATATTTCACTAGCAGGAAAATCTAACTGATATTGATGATGATATTTGAGAGCGTAGTTAATGATGATAATAAAGAAAAGAGCAAGATAAAACTCAAAATAAGAAAACTAAATGCACGCTTGAGTAGCTACACAATGTATAATGGATAGGTTACCAACATATCTGCTTCTATTGAGTATCTTTACGACTAATCTAAATTGATTTTTCAGTTCACTTTCACTTCTATTTTTTTTCTTAGTATATAACTTTAGAAAAGATATCTATAATATCTAACGCATAAAACTAGTCACAGGTTGGCAGGTTACGATACTCGTACCCTGCAACCTGCCCTGTAAAAATTTTCGTAACCTGGCCCTGCCCTGCCCGGACAGGGGAGGGCAGGTTATCTATACCCTGCAGGACTCTAATTGTCGGCACCTTATCTATAAGGGAGAATTGGATTCTTGCAATCTGATTGGTCGATTTTTCAGCCAATCAGATTTGAGGAGGCTTTTTCTCTCTTATAATCATAGTTCATCATCACGTTTTCTCTGTCAACTAGAGGATTTGTGAATGAGGTCTATCATTTCGAATATGCAATCTCATGTAGGGGTCGACCATTGTTATTAATCCAACTTAATTAAGTCACTTAATTAAGAAATTTTACTTAACACGTAAAATTAAATGTTAAGTTTTTCTAATCCTAAGTTAACCTTTTAATATTAAGTTTTAATGAAAGCACTTAACACTTAAAATTAAGTGTTGTTTTTTAAAAGAAAACTTAATTTCTTAATATTAAGTGTTAAGTAAAATTTCTTAATAAAGTGACTTAATTAAGTTGGATTAGAAATAATGTCCCACCCCTAGTTGGATGTGCATCTAGTCAAGGACGTCAATCTTTTTCCTTATCTATACTCATGCTCTCTTTCTTGCCCAAATCTGTACGAGCACGAACACTGACAACTAATGCCGGACTTTTTTTAAAATGCCATCCACCCTTTTATGAATAACTCTTCAGCATTGATAGCCATCGAGTTCAGGTTTTAGCAATTCGATAGAGCGGCGCGGGGGGCGTCTATCTATATGAGATTCATTAAGACCAAAGAAGTTTTTTATGGTAAATTTTTAATTGATATATTTTTCGTTACCAATTTTCATTAGTTTTTATAGAGATCTAGGCTTAAGTTACCGCAAAATCTAGCCTGGACGGTACTGTATCTGTGATAAAATTTTCACCTCTTTCTGTCATTGTCTTGAGTACCAGAATTCGTTACAATTTTGAGATTTTGACTAAAATTCAGGACCCTCCGAGCTACATTTTGATGTAATTCACGCCTAGGTCTCTATGAAAACTAATGAAAATTGGTAACGAAAAATATATCAATTAAATATTTACCATAAAAAACTTCTTTGGTCTTAATGAATTTCATATAGATAGATGCCCCCCGCGCCGCTCTATCGAATGGCTAAAACCCGAACTCGATAGCTATCAACGCTGAAGATTTATCCAAAAAATGGTGCATGGCATTTTTAAAAAAATCCGATATTAGCTACTCACCTTGAAGTATTTTTGTGGAAATGTTGATTATAAACTTTGTGCTCACGAGGGAACATATCCAAATGATTCCGAGCTTTCGGCTTCATATTTTGGCAACAGATAGGCCTCAGTGAGACTAAGAAAATCCTAGAAGCGTTCGTCCCCATGGGCTGCTGGGCCAAAGTTATAGCCATTTTACTGAATTTTTAGCCTACGACACGGTATCCACAGTAAAGTTAAATGAAGGTATTTCGGTCTGATATTCTGCCCATCAACACGTCTAATGATTCCTATCATGTACCAAAATTTTCAATCAAAACGGATGCTTCCTTCTTGAGATATTCGATTTTCAAAAATGCCTGCTTATAACAGGTAGGCCACAATAACGGAACTGTCCTGCAAATTGAATATCTCAAGAAGGAAGCATCCGTTTTGATTGAAGATTTTGGTACATGATAGGAATCATTAGACGTGTTTATGGGCAGAATATCAGACCGAAATACCTTCATTTAACTTTACTGTGGATACCGTGTCGTAGGCTAAAAATTCAGTAAAATGGCTATAACTTTGGCCCAGCAGCCCATGGGGACAAACACTTCTAGGATTTTCTTAGTCTCACTGAGGCCTATCTATAGCCAAAATATGAAGCCGAAAGCTCGGAATCAGTTGGATATGTTCCCTCGTCAGAGATAGATGTGGTAAATATTGAAGAGCTAGTTTATTCCGGCACACCAGGTGCCCGTTGTCTCTAAATATAAATAGTTCTCCCGACTACTTTAAGAAAGAAGATGAATAATCTTCATGAAGAGCTTCTAATATTACTTCAATGCTCGTTCAGCTATTGCAAGACGAGCTTACACTCTAAAAAATTTCCGTATTGTAGGAAACCGACCAAAAAGGTTTCCGAGGACTAGGAAACCTATTTGTTGCCCTCGAAAACCCTCAAAGGGTTCCCGAGTCACTCTCGGAAACGGATTTGGGTTTGCGAGCGCTCGGAAACCTTTTTGGTCGATTTCCTATAATACGGAAATTTTTTAGAGTGTAGCAACAAGACCTGTTTAACTTTTCTTGAGGTTAGGCTGCTCTGAAGAAAAATAAGGAATTTTACAGAACCCACTTTCTGATAAAAAGGGTTCTACGTTGTACCCAGTGGCAGAATTCCTAAAGAATGGTTCTCTACAAGAAAAAATGGCTCTGAACAAAAACAATGGGTTTTTCGGAAACCTTTTTTTTGTCCAGAACCATTTTTCAAGGATTCTGTCACTGGGTTCAGCGCAGAACCTTTTTATCAGAAAGTGGGTTCTGCAAAACTCCTTATTTTTTCAGAGTGGGCATGAATAAGGTGACCTTATCGAATGCATTGCTTAGAGGACTTTTGTGGAACTCACATATATTTTCGAAGAAAAAATGGTGCGTGTAAGTTTTAAGTTCGAGTTTTGGCGGCTCCCCCTCCCCCTCCCCATTACAGACACTTAGCAACGGGAAAGAGAACATTACAGACATACCCCCCATTACAGACACCCCACCATTACAGACCTCAGCAACTGCACACAAAAAACTTAAGCTTTACTTAACAATAGAAAAGGCTTGAACGGTTTGAAGAATATGAATTTGACTGCTATACAATATTATAATGTTTTCATTATTATTTGAAAAAACTAACATGCACCTAACAAAATTCTTAATAGAATAATCGTTGGCTTTTTTAAGAATTTAAACTTGTATGCTAAAAATCAGCGGTGAATAGTGATAATAGGTATTAATCTGTCGTACCGATGGTATAATCAATACAAGAAACATTATTCGATCTTGTTATTAGTGTCAGAAGGAAACAATATCATTATTGATAAATTAATTGAGATGTATAAAAGTATTATAAGAATGGCTAATGCATATTAACTGCATTCTTGTAAGACTCGTATTTATGAAATAGTTGATGATGAAAAAATTTCAAATAAAAAAAAACAAAAAAAAAATGATTATTACCGAGTATATATCAACACTAATAAAAAAAATCGGGCGCGCTCAAACGAAAAAGATAGTCGCAGTTTTAAATGTACAAATAAATAATAAAATATTGTTTATGTCAGTGATGAGTTATAAGAATCATTTTAATCAAGAGAAATCTTTCAGTTTACAGATGATATATTAGGATAACAAGTCTAAAGGATATATGTGAGTTCCACATTTCAGCTCCTTTGGAGCTGCGCTAACAAGCTTTTTCATCAAATTTGCGGAGTACACAACCGTTGGATCCTAGCAAGGTCGACGGACACAGTTGTCCGTATTTACACCGTAACTTTGTATCGCACGGCACATAAATAGACGGCATTTGCTCGCACGTTTGGGCACAGTAATACGGCTCCGCATGTGATGCCATATTTCACTGTATAATGCTAAATGTGTATGGTAATCTTAACACGAAATTGCCGTATTTCTGCGCCAGATATTATGGGCAGAATGCAGTCTGTTTCTATATCGTAGATGAATCGTAAACGGCCGTATACGAAACGTTTGGTTCAATCCAGGTACGAAATTTGGATCAACTCCACTGCATACGCTAAGCATTAAATCGTGAAGGTTTTTGACATTGTTGATTTATATTTGCATTTGACATCATAATCTTAGTTCTCTTAGCTGTTTCATGAAAGCGAGCTGTGACTGAGACTCATTCTTTTACCTTAAGTGTCATATTAGTTCATGTTTTATTAAAGATACTCTGTGGAGAACAAAAATGGCTTCAACAAAAACAGAAAAAGTTAGAATGAAATATATTTTCTTGTCCTATGAACGTAATGATATATATTTCGTACAAGATGTTCAGAAAATATTCAAAGAAGAACATATTAACTCATATATGAATGACGACGGTGACGTAAATTTTAATTTTGTTACGTAAGCAAACTGGCGAGATATTAAACAAAATAGCTTTATTGAATATTGTCATAGAGTTGCAGACAAAATTAAAGATAGCTCAGCTGTGTGCTGTTTCTTAACTCCAAACTATCAAGGTTCTGAACTTTGTAAGAAAGAGCTGCATTTTGCCCAAGAGAAGACAATACCGATAATTCCGTGCGTTCTAACGGCTGATTGGAAACCTGATAAATGGCTTGGATTACTAGTCTCGGACCTACGACAGTTCGACTTCCGAAATTCAGAAAAGACGATCCGAAATAGAATGGTGAACAAAGTGATTAACTATATTCAAAAGGAAATTCTGGCAATCGAGCTTAGTTATTTTCTACGTAAGTTATGAAACTGCGCATTGATACCACACGTTTTCAAAGTAAAATAAAGCATTGAAGAAACTCATCTGTCGGAAAAAGACAGTCCCGTGGAGATGTTTTATAATTAGTCTTCCCAAACTTTGGAGTAGTACAAGTGTGTGTATACCCTTATCTGAGGACATTTCATTGTTTTGCAGATAAAGACATGAAACATCGTGTCTTTTCATTGACA